TCTTGTTGAGTCTCCTGTTTGTATAAACTTAGCTTTTGAGACTGAAAATTAGGTATTTACAGATAACACAGGCATGCAATTCCACAGTGAAGCGTAGTTTATATTTCCATGAGGAATACAGAAAAAAAGCAGAAATTCTCATTTGTGCTGCTTTTATCTTGCAAATATTGTCTTTTCCCTTGTTTTAAGAATGAAACAGCAGGGATGTGTTACATTTGGGAAAGAGTTTGGAGCAACATCATGATACCCGATGATTACAAGTCCTTACCTATTGATTTACAAAATCTGTTATCTATCTTTGAAAACATAAATATTATTATAATATTAAAAATATTATAATTAGTCCTGATATTATCATCATTACCATTACCATGCTATAATTATTAGTAATATTGTCAATATTATTCATATTTATTGATATTTGTATTATTACTACTTGTCACTATTATTTTACATCCATGTGGAATCTGTGTTGGGCTACTGTGTGTTCACCCACTCCTCCTCTCTCTCCACTTTCTTCCTCTCTCTCTCAACCCATATGGTCGAGGCACTCTGCCGCCCACCCCTGCGTCTATGTTCTACTCGAGGTTTCTGAATGTTAAATTTGAGGTTTTCTTTCTGTGCTTGCTCATGGTGGGAATGGTTGGGTCTTTGTAAATAATATTACAACGAGTATGGTAAAGACCTGCTCTATATGAATTGTACAATGAGATACATAGAAAATTTAACTGAATTATTTCAGTAAAGGGATCAAATCGTAGGGTTACTGAGCATTTTGTTTAAACTTAGGGAAATGAAAGTAAACTGGAATGCAATGTAAAATATATGCTAAAGCATATAGCACTGCATCCTGTTAATGTAGCCGTCAAGGCCCTCTGTGTAACAAATGTCAATATCATCCAAAGCAGCAATTGACAACACTCCTTTTTGTCAGAATTTGCACACAGGATCCCAAAAGTCTTGTTAACAACCTTTCAGTCTGATGAAAATCTTCACCAATACAAGTGAGTGCTCCAGCTAGCCAAGCTGAAGGAGAGGCACCAGCTACTGCAGATGATACCAGTGCTGACTTTGGCCCCATCAATATGCTGGCAAATAGCTGGGTTGGCACTGTTGTTTCTGTGGTTCTGTATGCCAGTGTGGCAGCAGGTGTCACACCTGGCTGTGGCCTGGCGGACTGTTAGCCCATTTATCACAGGCTGCCCACCTGCACAGAAGAGAAAAATTTTAGCTCTTTAATTTTGTAGGGCTACTTTCCTAAACACTGCATTCCCTGCTGCTGCTAACACCCACTGCTGGCCCAGGGAGGTTGGCAGGGAGGCAACCATGTGCTTCTTACCATCAAACATGAAGTCACTAGTTGATTATTTCCAGCTGTCAGCATGTAGCTTTAGCTGGACAGTGAAATATGCACTGAAGTTACACCTGTGTGTTATTTCGCTATCTGTGTCACATCAGCAAGGTTCTCCAACAGCACCAGAACATCTGTCATTAAGCATGGGCATTACACATGGCCGTTTATAGCGGCTGTACCACTATTTCATCACATGTAGATGTAAACAATCATCGCAGTGATATCTGAAAGTAAACTGGAATGCAATGTAAAAGATATTCTAAAGGATATAGCACTGCATCTTGTCAATGTAGACATCAAGGCCAAAAACATAAATATGCTATTTGTAATGATCTGTGTGAAGTCAAAATTTACAGCATGTGTAACAAAATAATTTCCACTCAAACGTTCTGCTTACTAGCTCTTCTTCTTTAACCGCATCTCACAGTCAAGAATGAACTTTCACGCTAAAAAATCAGTAGCCTGCTTAAAAGTTTCAAAGTGCAACAGGCTATTCTGTCTACTCCAGCGGGTAGTTTTTAGAACCACGTCTGCGATTGTTAGCTTGTAACTCAAATGAGGCAGCGGATGATCGTTGGAAGCTACCTGTCATGGTGAGTGGGGTGGTAAAAAAAAGTGACGTCAGTGCATAACTTATTTTTTGTTCCACACAGCTGGATTCAGCACTACTACTTTCTCTGATGGTCCTTTTTCCCTTTTTGGCATTTGTTTGTCAACAAGCATACAGAACGGACCAAATTCTTTTGTCAGTTCTTCAGCTTGAATTCTGCCCGTGAGTCTAAATTTCAAGGTGTTGTTTTTTACACCATGTTCTCACTGCAGTCCACACAGTGGTGATGTCACAATAGACTACACAAGTTCATAAAAGAAAAAGAAAAAGTGTTGCTCTTCCTCTGCACAGTCTGTGTGGGCTGTGCTGGCTGAAGTCAAAACAAACACAATTGTACCGATGGCCGGCAGTCAGGAAGTGGCAACAGCATCTGTCGAGAAAGGCTGTTATTTGTTTTCCTCAGCTTTTCTGGTTGTTTTCCTCAGCTTTTCTGGTTCTCTTTTCCCCAGGACAACTCTCCACCGGCTCGAAGAAGACATAACACAGAATGGAAAGTCAAAATGCCAGCTGTGACCCTATAGGACTGTCTAAGGTTTCTCCCTGCCTACTGTCCATCACCTGTCCAACGTGTTCAGATGAACATTGTTAACAAGCACCTGTGTGTTTGCTCCTCGCCTCATCAACAGGGAGAGAGAAATTGTAGAAAGTAAGTGCAGGAGGAAAGCAGCTAGCTAGCTAACACAGACTCTCCTGGAGATCTCATTGGCAGTCAATATGGTTTGCTCTCTGTAAGAAGCTTGGGATATTGACTCTTCTTGCTTTGGTATTCAACTGTGATCATTTCTCTTATTTTGTATTTTTATTTCTTTTTTGAAATTGATTGAAATGCAAGTACGCGAGGGTCTAAGCAAGTAATAGTGCCCGCTTGAACTTTGATGCACCTAAATAAGTCAGTACATTTCTGTACTTGAGTTCTCCTGAGCAGGCAATAAAATCAGCAAGGACTGCAAAGAAGCGTGTTACCCCTTCCACTAGTTTGTGTGGTAAGGAATATTTTTAACTATTGTAGATCTCATCAAACATTAGTGCTCCGTAATGAGTGGAATGGTGAAATGGTGATGAGGGTGTTAAAGTTGGAGCACCAGTGGGTGTTCTTCTAGCTGTGTGCGATTAAAGTAAGTATAGAGTGTAATGTAGAATAAGCTTGTCTGAGAACACTATTCGCCCTGCTTTATTTGACACTCACTTTTTTTTGAATGGATGAAGAATTTGGTGTTTGATCCAAATGCTCCAGTTTATTTTACCATGCATTTAGTCTGCAGGATTTGATCCAGCACAGTAGAGCTTGTAAATTATTTCAGTATTCTGCTTCTTATTTTTTTTTGAGAATAAGAAATCAGTTGCCCATCATTCTACGCAGACATCCCAAAGACAGTAAATAATGTACTACTGTTGAGCTCCTCAGAGATGGAATCTATTAAATAAACTATTTGCTACACTGAATATTTGCTTTCATTATAACCTTTTCACTACTTTACTTACTTTTTGCTCATCCAGCTCCTCAGTCTGTGGCCCTTGGCTCATTTCTTCTTGTGTTCCCATTATCATTTGCTCCTTAAAGTATGCAAGAAACAAATTACAAGGTAGTGCTTTTGCAAACGTGCACTTTGTTTTTCATTAGTATGGCTAGACTAATACAGGGTTTACTGACCTGGGAACAGCAGGTGTACTCCACCGTGCGGGCACCTTTTGAGCAGCAGCACTTCATTAGTCGAAGCAATTACTTTTGGGCAATCGAGGTTTCACCTGGGTTTCATGCGCGTATGCGTGTGTGTGTGTGTGTGTAACGAATTGAGAGCATGGACTTACACCTCACGAACAAGTCACAGTGACCCTTCAGTGATGGGACAGAAAAGTTATCTCTTGTAGTTTGTAACAACATGGAGGACAAAAGAGTTTGATCACTGCTTTTAAAGGTCTTTATTGGCACACTGTACTGTTTTGAAGATCTGGCTGGTGGGGCACTCCGTCAGAAGTCACTTTCTGGCCTCAGCCCTTTTGATTTGAACAAATATTTTCCTAAATGTACGAGAGAGTCTCAGAACGTGGTGTGATTAACCAGAATGACCAACCATTCAGTTTGACGGGGGTCCTCAAATTTGACCTGTACTGATCCCCAGCCGAACTCAAAGGCAGATATCTCCTTCAAAAGTAAACACAACCGTATGGTTCTCTGATTATCGTAAAGCTTACAAACAAGGTTATCCAAAATTTCAATACTTTTGATCCACAATAAATAAATGTGCAAATAAGGTGAATTTTGTACCTTAAACATTGATTTGCAAAAAACAACAACACGTGACCTCCTAAAGTTTTTTATGTGTTTCATGTTGTGCAACAGCACACTTCTGAGTATATTGAGTTGCATAGTCTTCACACAAATTACAAGACTGTTAATCAAATGTAGTATATATATTTTAAATATGGGAATGATGAATTGCAGAAGTTTATATAATAGCCCTGATTCAGCTTTGGTCTGAAAGGGAGAAAAAAAAAGGTTTTGGTGACATATGTCCTAACAAACACAGAAATATCATCAGCTGTGAGAGTTCCTTGTTTATTTCCTGTCTAAACACCCATCTCATCTACATAATTATGTCCTCCCAGTGCACCTGTGGTATTATTCTTTATCACCTAGCATAATAAACCCTTAGCCCCCTTGTTACCACATTATATAGTTGCTATAAAACTCTACAGTCAGTGCACTTAGCTGCTCCCCCCCATGTGACACATTCAGTTGTTCATCAACAACATCGTCAACATTTTCAGCTCAGCTCTCTCTGTCTCACGGTAAATAAAGCGCACTTCCCATGATCCCATCTGGTCTCTAGCCTTTCTAATTGACGCTTCACTTATTAAAAAAAAAAAAAGTTTCAGGACTAATTAGCTCATGAATAATTTGTGCTAAGCCAACAGGTGACTAAATTTCAAAGTTTACTGCGAGACACCGCGTGGGACAAACTTACACGGCCCATGAATGCAAAAACAAGGCCAGCGAAGTGTAGGTCAGTGCTCCCGCTCACCCTGTTCGCCTCGTCAGGTGACTAAGACAGGGCTACAAGAAGCAGGCATGTGTGTTCAGGGCTAAGCTTAAGGGAACGCACTGTGTAATGTACACCACCTGTGTGCTTCCCGGCTGCGGTATTCCTGTGGCTACGGTCCCTACTACCGGCTCAGCAGAGGTCATTTGCATATTTTGTACCTGTAGGTAAAAGGGGAGTGTGTGTGTGAGAGAGAGAGGGAGATAGAGGAAGAGAGATGGTAAAAGCGTAGCTTTTTGTGTGAGTCATAAGTGCCGGCAGTTAAAACTGTCCATCTTTAGGCCCCGAGATGTGCTGAGGGGTGAAAACCAAACAGCTTGGAGGTAGGTTGTTTTTGACAGTTTGTTTTCTCTAACAGGACACATGTTATGTAGCCAAGCCTCCTGTGATGCTCTCTTTCTTCTGCTGTTGTTGTTATTGTAGCTCGCTCCCTACTCCCGAGGCTAGCTCGGGCTCAGGCCTGGGTATCTATGCGCTTGTCTCTGTTTTCCTCCTCCTGTCTTGTCTGCAGCGGATCAAATAGAGTGCCCTGAGAACTGCTCATCTTATTTGAAAGCATTTAATAAACTGGCTGCTTTTAACATGGAAATAGCGTAGCTGAGAAGGAATGAAATGATTTCAGTGGATGTCTCTGTGTTACTGAATAACACCAGAAAATTAAGCACTTTTATCTAGTTACAGACCAAATATCAGGGAATTTGAATAAGCTCATATTCTAATGGCTTGTTCACCGAGTCAGAAGGGGAAAGACAGTGAACTTTAGCCTCTGCTGAGCACATTACTCCTATGTTAATTATTTACACCAGAGCCTAGACTGCTGTAAACTAACAGTAGAGTGTTGATGTACCTTTCTAATGTATAGTGCTTGTGCAAAATAATTTCTTCTTGAATGACATGTCTTGATGATTCATTAAGTGCTAACATTTACCCTGTATTTTTTTATTTATCATTTCCATTTGTTTCTAATGAATGAGTAATTGGCTGCTAAAAGTGATTGACAGGTTGCCCCAGGAAGCACAGTTACCAGAGCTTAGAAATATTACTTCGCTAAAACTAATTACCTGTAATGACTGCCTCAATATCAGTGATATCATTTTGACAGACCCACAGCTTAAAGTCTCAGCGATTAAAGGCAGTATTTGGTGTAAAAAGGTTAAATTAAGTAGAAACACTTATTTTTTCAAGATACTGGTTGCTGTTAGGGTTGATGGTTTGTGCTGCAATATGTGGAATTTATAGCATGTACACACTTTTACTCAGCGCGTGCGTGTAGGATTCAAACTACAAATGAGCTGTTATCAATCAACCTGGTTAGTCTACTCATTTGAGGGCCTGAAATATATTTAATACGCAAGTAATGAAATGGCAGCACACTTCCTTTTCACTCTTGCTCTGCCAAAAAAAGATCCTTTATACAGGTGTGACCAAATTCCAAAAATATTTATGTGGTTATCCTCAAAAGTGCCAGGGCTGCTGACACCAGAGTGCAGCAGCATGATGTTACAGCATTGTCCTCTCAAGAATAGCATAATTATTCAGTCCAAATAAGCAATTGGCTCTATGTTCCTGTTAGTGAAGCAAGTAAGTGAATAGGTGTGTAATATTATTTCTTTTACCTAATTCTGCTTCCAATGTGGACTTTTTTTATTTGTTGGTGTGCACACATTTAGAATCTGTAACAAAAAAGTTAAACTAATTAAATGTAATAGCATTGTTTGTGGGGGGCACAGTAGAATTCGGGTTGTAGCCCTGTGCGCTCTCCTGAGCCTGTCTCTGACTACCGCGACAACACCGCAGCTAACGACATGCAGTCCACTAACACCATAAAACAACTTGCTCCCAACACAACACAAACTCCACGTAAGGATAAAAACAACAATAAAGTTTTATGTGCTGAAGACCATCAGATCAAATGAGATTCAGATGATGTCGGCTGAAAACAGTCAACATCAGAAAAACTGGAGTAACGCTGAGTCATGTTCGCCGAGCAGTAGCTAACGCTATCCGTTGCAAAGTTGTATCGCTTCTACATGACTTCACCAGCCAATGTGACCAGTATTACTATCCTTTGTACCACCAGTATTATGTCAAAGTGTTGATTTAGCCTTCAAGAAATTATGTCATGGTACAAAGCAAATGTGGAGCAATTTGTTTATGCTAACATTAGCCTACAGTGATGTAAGGCAGGGCAGTCAGCTAATGTTTGCTTCGTAACATTCAATTTAGATTAATTGTCATTTTACCGATAGTCAAGTAAAGTTACACAGCTTCTCCACCATCTCATTCGCTGTAACTAATAGGGGTGTAAATCACAAGTTTCGTCATGATATGATATTATATTGATTCTTTGGGCAACAATACAATATTTGCAAATATCAGAAAGCCTGCCACGATACAATTTCGATTTGACTCAATTCAGGGGCCTGCGATCGATATGAGACAATATCATATGGCCATTTAACACATTCAGTTAGATTTATACCAATTCACAACAAATACAACTAAAATATGATTTGACAAATTTATTATGGAGCTCTTCCATACATTTAAAAGAAAAACAATCTCTTTTTAATAAAAGAAAATAGATGACCTGTTGTTCACTATAGTGCCACATTTCTCATGTTTCAGTGCAAATGTTTTTTTTAAATCAGTTAACTAACTTTAAAGTTTGACATTTCTATGATATTTCAGAGTCATTTCCTCATAATGTTGATTACCGACATAGTTCGCCAAATATTTTTTGACAGATGGCTTAATTTTGTGCTCAAAGTTCCTTAATTGTTAAAACTCCAAGCTTGAGCAGGCGCACTGTCGTGCCTCATTAAAAAACTGTCACGCCGTCACGCCCCATTAAGTCAGAGCATCAAACCGATAAACATGGTTGTGAGCTAGCTAACCAATTTATCATGTAATTTACTTAGAACTTACAGTAGGTATGTCTCTCTGTGTCCGATTGTTGGTTTGTCTTTCTAGTTTAATTAGCTAAGTTAACTTATTTGGAGTTAGACAGGCGTAGTTAGCTAGCATAGTTACTGCAGAAAGTTAGCCAACAGAGGGTCTTCATTTTAGTTTTTAGTTTCCTCCTCTTGGTTCAATGTGCTGTTCATTTTCATTATGGCATTTGTGCGTGTGGTGTTGGAGGACAGATGACAGAAAACGCGTCGCACTTTCACCTGCCACTTTCTTATATACAGTCTGCAACATGCAATTTACTGATGGCCGTTTTACCAATGCATCGGCGAAGGCACCCACCACACCCCCGCGGTAAAGTAAGCACACCATAAAAGGTAGTGGGAGTTATCGTGTGCAGTGCGTAACAGGACCATCGACTGTATGATTAGTAACAGCTGATACACGCACATTAGTTTCTATCACGGGTAAGTAATAGCTACTCCTGCCAGACAGTGTAACGTTATAAACTTTACAGTGTAGTGACAGCATATCGTTAGTGAACACTCCAGCCGGTCACTTTTTGGTCGTCATGGTAATGTATACGTCCGACTATTAGCCACACCCCCATTCTCTGTTTAAGAAAGAACTCCATAAAAACGCATCATAGCTATCCACTACTACTTTGGGATATAAAGTTTTCTTTACCAAATCAAAATATCACTACAAAGCAAATGTAAACAATTTCGCATTTCTGCATATTGAACAAGTAAAATACTTCCTTTGCATGTAGTCATCAGTAGTTTGATGACAACTTGGATCATAGCTTACTATGGAATCTCTACAACAGTCAAGTATGTCCATCAGTGCTCTTCTTTGAGAGGTTTTTCTTTAAAAAAAACAACTGATCGACATGTTCAGGAGACAAAACACTGCATTCTGAACGGTCACCTGCAGTGCTAAATACATGCTCAGAAGGAACAATAGTACCAGGAATGCAAAGGTATGTTTTGGCAGGGTTTGCCAGGAGAGGAAGCTCAGTCTGTTGAACTCTCTACCACTCTAAAACATTACCTCCCTGGATCAAAGATGCAGTGTCTTGCAACTTCAGCATGGGCTAGCTCTCTAGAGGTCTTGACAGTCTGGCTAGGGTCCACAGTGCAGAAGGTGTCACCAAAGAGATCTTCAAGTGTCTTTGACTTAATGGAAGCAGGAACATATTCTAAAATGACACAGAACACAAGACTTAATGATTTCAGAAGACAAAATATATTTTTCTGTACTAAAAACATGTGTTAGGTATTATTAACCATATCACTTCTTTATAGCATTGAGTCAATAACAGTTTCCACAAAAAGGAAAAAGCCTGGGACACAGGCACCAAATCAGATTGATCAGCAGAAGTTTGGTCACCAGATGAGTGAAGAAGTGTATTCTCAACATGTGCCACTGTGTCACTCTGTAAATGATTTAAACAAAAATAAACATACACACACAAAAGAAAAATGGAAAGAACAAAAACAAGCGATGAACATTTTATTCATGAATAGTTTATGCATTTCTAAAACATTACTACAAAGAGACAAAATAAAATATGATCTTACTTTCTGGTCCCACAGCTCTGCAGCCTCACGTATGAGACAGTGGAAGGTTGCACACCTCTCCTCCTCACTTACAAATGGCAGCTTCTTGAACCTTGGATCTAAGGCAGATGCTCTATGCAGGACTTGCTGCACGTCCACGTATCGCTGTTCGAGCTCCCAGGCCATAGTCTGCTTTATCTCTGTTACTAAAGTGGAGTCTTCCTCTGAGATACTGAAGTGCTCCAACAATTTAGCTTTAGGTGGTGCAATGACAGACACAGTGGGCTGAAGTTCCTCACACATGATGATGGTGGCACTTTTCACTGGTCCGAGTAGCTTCACCTGTAGTGTAAGTCTTCAGCTGTAGTGATGTGTCACTTTCGTTGAGTTTATGTATGTCATTTGCGCCTTTCCTTAGTTTTGTGTCCAGGAGTGAAGCACACGCTTGTTGCTCCAAAAACTGTTCTAACATGTCAAATGAATGGTTCCAGCGTGTGCTTACGTCTTGTTTTAGCTTGTGTTCTGGGATTCCAAGCAACTTCTGCTGCTCTTTCAAAACTGTGGTTGCAACCGCGCTCCGGTAAAAAAATGACACGATCAGTCTCACTTTGCCCAAAAGACGTGCTGCACCAACACGTTTCAGGCCCTTCTGTGTGGCCAAGTTTATAGTATGTCAGAAGCATTTGGTGTGCGGTTATAGACTTGCCTCTGCTCTGGCCACGGACATGTTGCTGGCATCTGTTACAAGCGCGGGTTTTTTGTCGCCTATATTCCACTCCTAATATGCTTCTTTCAAAACTGTCCCAAAATTTGCTCCTGTGTGTGAGTTGTTCAAAATGCGTGTCTGCAGA